AAAAAAAACGCTTTGCGCAACACACAGCATGATATATTACACATTAATTCATTGCTTGTGTTGCATCACAAGGGAGAAACTAGGGGAGAAGAAAAAAGAGGAATAATCATGTGTCAGAATTTAATTGATTTCTGATAAAAATATACACTTTCAATCAGAAAGACAGGAATAAATATAATACTATTCAATTTTCTTTGAGAATTTTATTCTCTTGTTCTTTAATCATGAAGTCTTATTGATATTTGTATGACTTAAAACAAATACGTCATTGACAGTTTGTTTTTGCTCATGTACATTTCACTTGATCTGAAATTTTCCAACTTCAGTGTAGCTTTTGATAATCTAAACTTACCTCAAAATTAATCATCCTAATAACAACAACTCAAGTTCAACTACCATTCACGATGATTCTGATAATAGGCGATTTCAAAGCCATGCTTAAAAAAAACAAGAGAAATCCGTATGAAATACTTCGGTTTTATTACATATTTTCATATTGACAAATTGTAATTGAATGTGATTGAAGGAAAGACCTACATTCACAATTGAAAGACTTTTTTCTGAACGAATCATAAAAGAAGATTTCGTTTAATGAACTGTTGTCAATTATCTGAGGCAATTCATTGAGATGACGAACATATACAAGTAGACACCGTTGTTTTTTTTTTGTCAGAATCTGTTTGACCACAAGTTTCTCCAACACAAGTGACACTCTTGTTTCATATATCTATTGACAGTAGGAAGTTGGTTCTCAAAAAAAAAAAAACAACAAGTCAATCATTGAATCGTATATTGATGTCACTTCGAAAGCTACTAGAGAAGATTGATTGATAACTTGTAATCAACAATAATCGAGAGAACTTTTCGATTGGTTTCAATTAGATGTATGCATCAATCATTGTCAAACCTTCAAGTTCAAAACAGTACGGAGAGAAATGTCGTCTTCGAAAACAGATCAACTATTGTTTGTCATTTCATTTTTCAGTGTAAAGAACATCATTTGCATAGAATAATCAACATATTGAGCTACGTATATTTTTCTAAGGTCTTCGCTGATAGAACTAAAAATTCTTTGAATATTTCATATGTTTTTAGAGCGATTAGACAAATATTATGACAGAGAACAGTTTGAAAAAAAAGTACCAACTGCTAATCATCACAAAGATTTTTATAATCTGAATAAAGAGATCAAGATGGTCAACTAATACTCAAAACATGGAAATTAATTATGAATATCTGACAGTAGACTCACAAATTTTCGTCTGTGAAAACACGTTTTCTTTTCGAATACGTCAATTGATTGTGTATGCGATATCGAGAACGATTGTATAATTTTTACATTTTTTGTTTTCTGTCCTTTGTTTAAATTATTTTTCCAACGTCCATAAATACATGAATAATTATTTAAGTTTTGTCTGACTAATTCTACACTGAATAAAGTCATGAGATTGATCACAAAAGAAGCAAAAATGTTTTGTATGATTGAGTCAAAAAAAAAATGAATAATCGAAACGAAAATGGAAGAACGATAAAGAAAGAGAGCGTATATATCCGTGGAAGTGCTTGGAAAAAACATCTATCCAATGAAACGAACTATGAAACATTTAAACAAGTTGATGGCAGTTAACATTTAATAGTAAAGTAATTCATAAATATGAATGAAGATTTTGATCTTGTGTGTCCAATTACTCAGGAACTCTTCTATGGTTGTCTAACTGATCATGCATACGTATTTACAATATCTTTCGAATCGATAATATTTAAAATAGATGATAGGTTTTGTACAATAATTCGAAGAGTTCTCTGCCTAATGTTAACACAAGTTTGATGTCGAATAGTCTAATCAATATATTCTGTTACCGGGTGTATTTGCTAATTTTTTCATAGCTTCGAGATATTCATAAGAGAATGATACCAAGAATGCTAGAACCATTTGACATGTTTTAATGGCTGAAAATATTTGGAAACATTTCGGATGACTAAACTTCAAATTTTTATTTCGAGCAATACCATGATACTGAATCTTGACTTGACTAATCAAAATTAGTCTTGGTACTGGAAAAAAAGCATCAATTAATGACAACTAGTTGAATTTTAGATGTATAAAATAAGAGATAATAATCTTTAAAATAACAGAATTTGTGCGTCGAATACGGAGATTTAAAAAAAACTTAAGCTCATTAAATATGAGTATTTTCTATTAACGTAAATCAAAAATGAAATTTTAGTCAATCAAAAGTATTTCCAACAATTTTTAAGTCATTTAATGACTTGTTTCAAACTTGAATCAGAACAAGAAAGATTCTTTGATGGAAGTTTCTTTAAATTAACTGACATGATGTGAGATTTGAAAAGTTCCATTTATGTTCGTAGATCTTTTGTTTTTATCATTCGATTCAATTAGAAACGTTATTGAAGAGTAGTTTTGTTGTTCGAAGTTCTGATCATCGTTTAAAAAAAGTAACTTTTTCACTGTTCTAGAACTATTTCTCAAGGATGAAAAGAATCTGATTAATTTATCTCGACATTATTGTCTACATTCATTCTTTGAAAGCAATGAATTATTTAGAATTGAGCGATACAAAAGGTTAACCCATAATGGAAATAAATACACTTGCAAAAGTCCTCAGTCAAACTCTGAAATAATCGAAAACTCTGGTCTTCTACCATAAGCTTCTTTTCCGACCTATTACAATCTAGACAATTAGAGATTATAAAAAAAAGTTGTGTGATATTTCAAAAAGAATCGATCACCGATTAAAAGTCCGAAAAGTAAATTTATAACGTCTAAAATTGATGAAAAACTTTTAAAAAAAATATAGACAATTTTTTGAAAACAATGTGTACTCGTTTAAGACTATCAGAAAATTTGTACCGGTACAGTCTTCTCTTGTGTGAGTGGATATGGTTTTGAGTGTGTGCGAAAACAATCTTTCCTAGTTAGCATAAAAATGCTTTAACCAGATATTGTGCTTCGAGTTCATGATCTTCTGTCAAACTGATTGAGATTAAATAACTGTTCTTCATCTACTAAAATTTTGTAGATACTTCTAAATGCGTAGTATTCTTGATAAAAATAACTTCGTGAAACATGATTGTTAATGGGTGTCGAAGTGGAGGTAGAATTAGTACGTTCATATAGATATTCATTACTACTGAAAACAATGGATCTTTGGTTGTTGGCTTTTTATCTAGTTTTCTTTTAGTTTTTTGTCTTTTTTTCTCTCGTAGATAGATTGAGCTCAGCACATCGGCATGTCTTTTTTAAGTAAGCTCTCTCTTAAATCCTATTGAAAATTACTCTCTTGAAAGCGATGAAAATTTCAATGGTGTTTTACATTTTAGTTGTTCACAGATTGTGGTGAAAACTTTTTCTTCATCCAATGTTGCCTTGATTCTCAGCTTCTTTCTCATGATTGATGTTTACTAAAGGTATGTTCGACATAATATTATTCTATAAGAACCGATAGAAAACGCCAATGTGTCTTCTCTAGTGCATTTTCGAGTAATCGAAGAAAAAGGCATGAACTCTGATTTTAACCATATTTCGACTTTTCATTAGTCTCGTCCACCCACGCATCAATCACAAAGACTGGTTTCTCAAAAATAAAAAAAGGCATATAAGAGACTTTTGAAAATTTAACTCATGAATAGTAAATATTTGATTATTTGGTTGCTTTTTATTGCTACTTTTATATAGATTTTTCTTTCAACGGAAATCATACGAAAAATTTTTACGAACACCACAATATACAGGTGACATCTTTACTTGAATTGCTATTGACATGGTTGTTGTGCTAATTTTCTATGGCCTAGCATAAGGCATATTTTGACTACTTCGTAACATTCAAATGAGTCTCGACGAGCGAAATAAGTGTACATAGCATTCTCATTTTCTATTTCTCGGTAGAAAAAAACTTGAAGAGGTCTCTAGAATCGTCACCAATAGCAATTAGTGATTTTTTTTCTTATCAGAACATATATTTTGACCATAAAATAAAACAAACACAATCAATACGTATTTATTCATGAAATATAAATATCGAATTGTTATTCATTTGTTTTAGTCGATTTGAATAATTTTGAAAACAAAAAGTTTGTATCTCAACATCAATGACAGAAAATTCGCAAGACTCAAACAATCAGATGGACATATCATCAGACATCAGTCCTTCTTTATCTTCAGCAGCGAGATCTAAAATCAATTACAAATTGATGCCTGATCCATTATCTGTATATGTTCCGTTAGAGTCTCTAACTAAACAAACTATCGAATCTGTAGCTTTAACTGCACTTAAACATGAGATGCCAGATTGGAATCATAGTCGACGTACTTTATTGGCTTTTTTACTTGCAATTAATGAAAGACTCAATGAAATTGAAAAAAATAAGATTCAATACGATGAACAAACTCTTAAACATGCTATTAAAGTTCGTCAATGGCTTGTACGAGAAGAAAAATCAGGTCAAATTATCGAGTTTGATTGGAATGAATTACGAAAAACTTATGATAATATGATTAATAATAAAAACAATAAAAAAGAAATGTATCTTGGTATGAGAAACGAAGAACCTTACTATGAGTTGACTATTAATGCGGTAAGTTTCTTTAACAACTACGAACCAATTTTCGTCTTTGAACAGTATCGAAAGACACAATGTATTGAGCCACACCCATTCTGAACACAAATAAATAATTATGATTATGTTGAGATCATGTTTCTCTACGAAAATCTTTAAAGTTAGTGTAAATAATGTTATAATCCAAGAAAACTTTACTAAAAAAAAAGACGTACGGATTAATCGAACATTGACTTATAGATATATTATCCTTCAAGAAAAAAATTGTTGTTTTTATTGTCTAAATTTAAATTCTGCTTAAATATGTATGAAAAAAAAACCATTTTCAGCACTAATAGGTATCAGACGTGTATTAGATTCGTACTTTTTCTTTGTTGTATTGAAAAATTCGATTACAAGATTCCAAAATTGAGCATTCTTGTTCAGGAACATTCCGATATAGATCAATCTCGTAAATATATGGCTCGCTTTCGCAACAATGGTTGGGAACCTCATGAATTGAAAGTTTACTGGAATGTAGAACAATTAGAAATTATGTGTCCAAAAGATGGACAAGAAGTTGAAAATGAAAGACTCCCACCACACGATCCATCAGATGATGATGTTGTCCAAGCACTTCGTCAATATCCGGTTTCAAAACGAAATCATGCTGGTACTATTACCTATATTAATAAAGGAATAGAAAAAGCTGTTTTCGATGTACCGAAAGATGCCCAAATTATTCTTCTTAACTTTGCCGTAAGCTACTTCTCTTTGCGAATAGTATGATTATACTCATATCTTGATTTATTAGAATGAATGTTCACCTGGAGGTGGTTATTTATGGCATGCATGTAAGTAATATTGATTAATTATGACTCTTTTTTTTTTCAATCAAATTATGTCTCTCATAACTTAATGAGTATTTTCTAGAAAAAGTCCCAAAATATATAGTCGAAATTTTGGATTTTGCAAGTTGTGTCAAATAACTCTTGGACAACATATAAGAACAATGATATTTTCTTAGAGTTAACAATTCAGTTTTCTTTGTTTGAGAAAAAAAACATGCTATGAGAATTCAATTTTTTGTAATAAGTGTTGATATTATAAAAAGAAGACTTCTACTCATCTTCGTTTTCGGAATAAACTAAAGTTCTTTTTTTTTAAGATCTGTATGAGTATTTTATTCTTTTATATCGAACAAAATATTCTCCTAGTCTATTTTATGTAGATCATAAGTGTTATTTTTATTCAGGTGCACAAGAAGAAATTATCTTGTATAACTCAGATGGTTATCGAGCATTGCTTGATCTCAAATATGGACGAATGGGTGGTGGTTATGCGATACCCGAATTTGGATTAGCTTATGTACGTGATATTTGTTTCGTTGATAAGGACACTGAACAATATCGTCAAGCAGATATGTTAGTTTCGGCATGTTACTGTCTTGTTCAACCTCAACTTTATGATAATCCAAAGACTATAGATGAGGTAAATATTCAAAATTGTCGGTACTAATAGCTTTAATTGATAATAACTTTGGTTTGAAATAAAAATAGTTACTTTATTGATTTTAGTGGATAGAAAAAAATATAGTCAAATTTCGTGCATTTATATCAGCAGCTGTTGCTAATACGAAAGGTGATGGATCAAAGACTTATCTGTTACTTGGACCAATAGGTACTGGTGCTTTTGGAAATGATGTCAATCATATTGGATATGTCTTTCGAGATGTACTCACATCGAAAATGATGGGTTCTAGTGGTCCAATTAGCAAGGTTTTCAGTAATATTTGGTTTGTTTCTACAGATGCATGGAAGAATGAACTTTTCGAGAAAATTCTATTTGATGAAGAAATTCCTGAGGTCGAATGAAGCCTCTCGTTTTTTTTGTATTGTCTGTCACTTTATTGAAATAATAGTTTCAGTACTTTTCAAATAAAATATTTATAATCAAACACCGAATAACAACAAAATTCATTAATTCAATTTTTTCAAACATTTATATTTATGTTTTTTAAAATGTAGATTTTTACTGAAATTACAATCGAATAGCACTATGATTTTCTCAAATTCATTGATTGACCAATACCTGCATATTCACACGCACACTCTTTTATCTATTTTCCTTTGTTAATAATAAACTGATTTCATACGACCTATGTTACAAAAATTATGAAACATGTTTGATGTCAACTAGTTACGATAAACAGTTTGAATCGAAGGCGAATCTGAAAATTTATTAAAATAATGCATGATTGTATTTATTTTAAATTTCCTTTTATATTTCTATAGAATAAATGAAATATTTTTACAACTCTATAAACAAATATTCAAGAGAAAAAAGAATCATTCATAGACAAGCGACATCTAATATAATACTTAAATTTTCATATTAATAATTTCGATAATCATTTCTTGTAGAGTACAAAAATTCAAAAGTTATATTCAATTTTAATTCTTTTATCATTAAAAAAAAACAAGTTGAATCGATTTCGAAAAAAAGAGCGATACTTGAATTGATATTATTGATCAAATTCAATTAGTCAATCAAAAACGTAAGAATATAAATCCAGGTAACAAAGAACTCGAACATAAACGATTACTACATGTAAAATCACGTATTAAAATAAAACTACTTATTTTTTAATTTTTCTTTTCTAAGAAATAGTTTCAAACGTATAACGATTAACACATAGAAGTAAAAGCACATATATATCCAGCAGTACATTTCAAATACGATTGCTTTTTTTTTGCTTTCTTAGAACTCTCCTAGTTTCTAGATGACGATTGTCTGTGTTTTATAAAAATTTATTTGTTTAGTTTTTCTCTAATTTAAATAGATATGAGTAGTGACGAAGAAGAATTTGATGATGATACAACCGATTTTGATGAATTCGATACAACAGGTAATAAAATTTGATTTTTTTTTGTTGTTGTGAATACATTTTTTAATATAGATGAAGATGCCGATGATGATGACGATGATGTTAATGGATCAACATCACAACCAATACATTTTCGTGAATGTCTTCGTTTACTTGATGCAGCATTAAGTACAAGTAATCCACCTGTTCTTCCACGATGGTGTGCAAGTGAACAAATAGGACCTATGGATGATCCAATGTTATTAATTAATGGTCATCAAAGATGTTTATCATTACCATTGGATAAACGAGAAGCTCGAAGATTTATTCGAAAAGCTGTACCGTTCGATATGAAAATCGATATTGTCGATGGAATTTCAGTATGTTGTTGCTTTTTTTGCACATAAAGAAGGAAAGAAATAGTCAATAATAATAATACATATCTAACATAGAACCAGGGGCGTACCAAAGCATCACTAGCTGGGGGGGGGGGGGGGGGGGTAAATGTGTTAATGTACTAGAAATAAAATAAGACTACGTGATATAGTGAACGTTCAATTTTTTATACATATTCTTCTGCCTTTCATCTTTGACGAGTCGTTGACCAATATGTCTGGTCATTGTTTGCAACGACTCTAGTGATAGGACGTTAGAGGTTTGTAAGAAATGAAATATTACGAAAGAATACCCGAAGAGTCTAGTAGATCGTGGTAAAGATCCATTTTTGTATACCGTTCGTAACTATCGTTTTATTTAAGTAAGTTTTCGCAAATTGTAATATTTTAAAATTGCCGGATGACTCACCATTAAAAGGCTCGTTCTAACTATTTTTCGCGAGACAAAGGAGAGATTTATTAAATAAACACTCTTGACTTGAACCGTTCGTTATTATTTTCTTATGCATTGATCAATTGCTAAAATTTCGTAAAATAGATATTTTATATTTCACAGCCATTGAAAATCGTTCGAAAACAGAGGAATGTTCCGTCGCTAAATTTCGAAAGCAGGAGGGAGTGTTAGGCTTCCCGCTCGGTACGTTCCTGCAGAGAACTCAAGTATCAAAAAATAGTACTTCTCTAATAGTTGACTATCATTGGAGAATAATTATCATCGATAAACGATTGTTCGATTGACGTATTTCTGGTTTCTATAACGCAGCTGAACATCATATATGAGGTTTACCTATTTTCATTTTATGTTTTGTTTTGTTTTTTTTAGTTTTTACCATCATCTTGTCAAATACCAGTAAATTCTTTTAGTATATTAAATCCAGAATGGAAAACAAAAACTGAAACATATTTAAAACGTTCATGTGTAGCTCCATCACTTGAACTTGATCCAAATCAAATTGAATTAAAAATTTCAAATTTAATTTTACTTGAACCATGTCAATTTCCACGACAATTTATTTGGTCAAAAGATGAACAAAATCCATTATCTATAGGAAAATTATTTCTTAGTTTACCATCAACATATAAAGGTGGAAAAGAAACAATAATTTATCAAAAAGAAAAACATATATTTGATTTATCAGAAAAAAATTTATTAAAATCAAATTTTTATACTATTGTTCCAATAAGTAATGAATGTAAACATGAAATTGATTATATATCTGATGGATATAAATTAATATTAATTTATGATATTATTCCATTAACATCAACAATTTTTTATAATGTTAATATAAATGAAACAATAATGATTCGTATTTCAAAAATATTAGATACATGGATTAATGGATTAGAACAAGATTATCATGGTTATTCAACAAAAATTATTATACCATTTTCTGATACATATCAATTAGGAAATAATCCACTTTTACATGGTATTGATAGAGTTATTGGAACAATTCTTCGACGAACTATTGAACAATATTATTCAAATAAATTTTTACTTTATCAAGGTATTATTCAACCAAATCGATCTAATGATGGAACAGTACATGTTTGTCGATTATTAACAGATCTTAATTTAATGATGTCAATAAAAACAAATACACTTTTTGATAAAATTGATTTATGTTTAGGAAATTGTAATGAAACTTATTCAGGAAATATTTTTTTAAGAAAAACAAAAACTGAACAAGGTTTGTTTGTTTTTTTTTTTAATCTTTCAAACATTTCTAAATATTTTATTTACTTACGTAGAATAGATTAAGAGAAATATGACGGAACTCTATTTTTATGGTTGTCTTTCTTCTGTCGCAAGAAAAATCCCCTCGAACTTTTAAGAGTTAAGATAAAAGCAAGTCAAAAGATCTGAAACTGTCACAATAACCTCTCCTGTTTCTATAGCGAAGTTTGAAAATTACTTTTTATATTTATGTAAAAAACGTTGTTAAAAGTGAGGGATTTTTTTCTTCAATTAGCTAGTCAGAGAATTTTCTTTTTCAAGTAAAAGATATGGAGAGAAGACAGATTTTTAATGACTAGTATTATACCTGAGATGTCCATGGCGGTGGTGGCGGACATTTCGCACTAAGTCATTCCGAACTCCTGTCATGTGCTCGGGTGTTCGGAAATGATTTTTGTCCTGTACAACTTTCATTACGAAAACCCTGTTTTTTTAATTTTTGATTGATTTTGTCATTCCGAATTCCTGTACATCTAATTCCGAACACCCTGTCTTAGTTTTCTTATGTCCGGAGATCGTAACGAACATCTACTACCGGTGATCGTAATGAAAAGGTGGTGCGAAATGTCTCATTCTCGGCGCGACAGCGACAGATTCTCAGCCATGATGGACATCTCTGTATTATGCTAACAATGTCTTAAAAATTGATGATCAATGGAATGAGAGAATGCAACAATTATCAATTATTGCCTATCGCAAAGAATTCTTTAATCATTGTACTCAAGATGATTCGAATAATATGTTTAAGTCTTTTTTTTTTGTTTTTAAATTTAGGTAATTTTATATCTATTGAACAATTTAATGTTCCTATATGGTGTCTTGTTCCTGTTAATCATAAATATGATCTATTAATTGATAATATTCCACGTGTATTAACATATCTTGAACAAAATTTAATTCCTTATCATAATCAACGTAATGAAATATTTTCACTTATTAATTGGTTATTAACAAGTTCGAAGAAGATACATTTTAATTCTAAATTACTTCTTCATCAATTACTTCCACTTTTATCTGATAATACAATAACATATAATCTTATAATTATTATTCGACAATTATTTGAACATAAAAAATTTCTTGAACAATTTTTTCCAATGAATAATAAACAAGATTATGATGATATTATTTATCTATTAAATTATTCAAAAGATACAAAAATTCAATTATATCTTCATCAAGTTTTTCGTACAGTACTTAAACGACGTTTACGTGATACAGATAGAATACATGATGCAATTAAATTTATTGGAATTTTATCAACACGTAATGTAAATTCAAATTTTATATTTGTACTTATTCATGAATTACTTTCAAATATATTTAAAATAAATAATCCAATACCATCAATAACTGATCTTGCTAATTTACTTGCACTTTTATCATTATCAATTGATTCTTTTCAATCATCATGTCAAATTATTTCTCAACAAATTATTCAACAAATAAAAATAACAACAATAACAACAACAAATACATCAACAATTACAAATCTATTAAGAACAGTTCTTGTACCAACACTTATTCAAATTTATCGACAATTTCTAAATAAAAATCAATTATTACGAAAAAGAAGTTAGTTTAGATCTGTTTTCGAAACAAAAAAAAATAAAATTTATTTTCATATTTTAGAACGTGATTCAATAATAAATTTTCCTTCATGGTTTATATCACTTTATCAAACATGTCTTTCATTACTTAATACGTATTGTAATAGTAATCCACCAATTCCAACATATGATAATCTTTTAAATATTTTTGATATTTATTGTTGTACTATTTGTCAACAATTATTTATTTTTCTTCAAAATACAAATAGATTTGAACAAACTTTTATTATTTCAAAAGATAAAATTGATCATTTTAATATGATTGTAAATAAATTTAATCCTTTAATTATAATAACAAAATCTATGACATCAGATAAAGAAAATTATCAAATAAATATTATTAAAATGTCAACATATGATGAAGAAATATCTCGTGAAAATAATCTTCTTCGTTCATTACTTTTTCATATTCAATTATCAAATCATTTCGAAGATCAACCTGATACGATGAAAAAGAAACGTTTTAAATCATCGATATGATCTTCTCTTTATTTTTTGTTTTGTTTTTACTTTGTTTTTTTTTTCTGTTCGGTGATCTTTGTAATAGATTCTTAACTTTATTTATATATATTTCTGTTTTTTTTTATATTCAAGAAAAATTTTTTCTCATTTTTACAGAATAAACATACTTGATATATATATATATGGAGAATTAGTGAAATATTATCTTTTATCAATTATCATAAATACTTTCAAACGAAGAAAATTTTTTCAAATTTTCAACGTAAATCTATTTTGATAGGTAAAACAAAAGTTGGACTTGAATATCTAGAGGATATCTCTAAAGTCAATTATAATATTGTCTTTTTTTTTGCACAATAATTCGAATTAAAATTAAAACATTTTTCTGTGACTATTCGCGTTCTTACCCTGAGGACATCATGAACTTTTTGTAGAACATGATTATTATCAAGGCTTATAGCAAGGACACAGTCTCATCTATTATCTTTTCCAGAGACTGGCAGCGGAAATTTTTAGAAACTTCCATATGTATCATTCTTTGTTTTAAATAATTGTATGGCGTGACTAATTCAGTTTAGATAGAGTTTTTATTCGACGTATGAATACCTCTCATAACTTGTGTTGTTTGAAGAGTATCTATGAGAAAAATATACAATGTTTTAAAGATCTTTGGAGTAAGAAGAATAAAGTTTCAACAATTTTACTTAGAATATGAAATGCGCTATACTTATATCGGTGATAATATTTTGTAATTAAGATTACTCATCAGATATGAAAATATTAATGAAATGATTGCCAATACTTGTTTCTTTTTATTAACTCATCTTCAGAACGTTTAATTGCGAAGATAAATCTAGCTGGAGCGGCAATAAGTTGGAAATTATTTGTTGAAAAGCTAATATTTGGATTTGATCCTTGCGTAGAATAGCCTACAATTATTTAATATTGAATGATTATACTTGAAATTTCGTAAACAATCATAGTTCATTTTGTATTTATTACCAGCAAATTCTTTTTGGTGAAAATCTATTGAAAACTGATTAATTTCAAAATTTTCACCATCTGTTACCTTTCATTGAAGTTAGATGAAGCATAATGACATGATTACACATTCGAGTCCTAATATTGCTATAGACTATGAGTACAAATTTACTTGCACAAGTACTAGAATACAGATGCTAGCTATTAATATCATTAAGTTTGTAAAATCAGTCACCGAATTTAACTGACCAAAGTTAGATATACATATCAAAAATCGTCTTGACAAGTCTATGCTCGTTGACAGATCGCACTGCACAAAAATAAATTATTTTTAGATTCAAATTTTTTCATATCACTGCATTGCATAATATTGAAATAGTTAAAAAATGGAATTAACATTTATTTCCTTCGGGTATCAAGCAATATTGGCAACAATATTATTAGTAGCCAGGATACTGTAGCGATGCACGTTTAGATATAATAAAAGTTTCTCACTATATTCTGATAGAGTATAGCTCAATCTATTCATAAAAATATAACTGCAAAGATTCTGTAATATATTCTAGAGAAAAATCTTTGAAAGAAAGCATAACAGTAGAGTGATTCCATAATTTTGACCAGCACTGGTGTTTGACAGATCTTGATGACGTGTGATAAGATATACCGCAAATGTACCCAGCCAATGTCCTCCTTCGTAATTATTTTCATCAATAGCCGTCAATCCTGTTTGAGCATTTCGTTTGCTTAATTCAAATAATTGATTGCGACGATTGTTTTGTTCAGTATCAAAGGATAGAGCATCAACGATTCCTTCTAACATCCATGCACGACTGATGCATAGACCAGCTAAATGAATCAATTTTGGATCAGTAGGATCAGCGATCAAGGGTGGTTCAAGACTAGACGGTAAAGTTTCTGTTGAAAGAAATTCATTGAACCATTTAACAAAGTCTTGTGGATTTTTATTCATGACACGATGCATGAGATCAGCTTCGGCTAGACCAGCAGAAAGAAAATCTTCACCTGATGGTTCATAGTTGAATGGATAGTTTTTATCCGAAGAAAAAAATACAAGTGAACGTTGTTCAATTAGCTGAGCAAATACAGTATTGTTCATCCGACGAGCATAATCAAGTGAGAAGCCAAGTGCAAAAGCTGTCTGACTATGTTCACCACTACGAATAGGATACGATAGTTTTGGAAGCCAAGAAGAGAGACGTGTAACAATCAGTGTTTCTAATGGACGTATGTTTTCTCGCCATTGGTAAATCTCGTCAGGATTCTAAACGAACAATATCTTAACTATAATAGTTACAAGGAGACGCTATTTTTGTTTGTTTTTTAGCAACAGCATCATATATGAACACTGTTTTGATACACTTTTGAAAAATCAATAATATTCAAATATTTTTTCTATTCTTCTGTGTTGATAAAGGGCTTTAAAACTTAGAAACAGAGGGTATTTCTGAGAACAAGAAACAAGCGGACACCTATCTACTCTGAAAACATAAAGCAGGAATCAGTTGAGATTTTTCCATCGAAGTTTTTTACTTGTCTCGTATGAAATTTGTTCCATAAATATTTTATTTAATCCTGAAAATTCATCATCAGCAGATATGAAAAATGTTTTAGATGAAATGACTGGCAAATTAATGTTAGAAGGTTCAAAAAGGTACGTTGTTCGTATAGGAGAAAAAGAGCAAATCAGAAAAATGTAGTTTTCTATTAAGAAAAGTTTTTGCTGCATTTGGAGACAGCTTTTGATAAAAACGCTTTCAAACAAAAACAAGAAAAATTTTGTGAAACAGTATAGATTAGTCGATCAATGATGCATATTTGCTGAACTAAGAGTTTTTTATTATTTAGAAACTGTAACGGATGAGATGACAATGATAAATTGAGTGAGAAAGTGAAACTTGGAAATGTTGTTTCTAAATTCGTCTGATTTTTAGTGGAAATAGAAAAATTTGAGAGAAAAATAAAACATATACAACTGGCGATTCTCGACTGCTATCTGAGAAAACTCAATCAGATGCTTTTAGGTAGTCCAATATTGTTACAAATCGAAGCTTTTTTTAAAGACTTACTTCTTTCTCTTCCTGTGCCCATTCATCTAATTCTGTGGCAAGTTGCAAGAACCATGCCAATCCATAGGGTCGTTCAAAGGATTGCCGCTGATTACTACTAATATATTCAACTTCATCTAGAAGTTTTTCTTTGGTTAAGCTTTTTCCGAGAACTTGTCGACATTCCACAGCTAGAGTTGTATCGATTCGAGCCAGACGAGCCAACAGCCAATGACCATGAACAGCCGAATGCCAATCAAAACATCCATAAAAGGCCGGAGTCAATTGACGAGGTGGCTGAGCATCACTATCTGATACGAGTACATGAGCCACTTTATTTGGATATTCGCGATGGACACAGGACAAAGCAAGAGATGCGAAACGACGATGCATGATGGTTGAATCTATTCAATCGTTCATTAAGACAAAAACTATAGCATCTATTTTTTATTCTAACACACTCAAACAAGATATGCATTGAAACATTCATATTCTTACTTGTTAGTGTATCATTATTGTTATATTTCATTGTGTTTGAACCATTTCCAACAGTTATTGCCAGAAAAAGCAAAAATGAGATACACACCATCATCATATGTGCGGAAGAAATAATATAAATGTTTGAGATTCTTCTTTAAATATTCAAGATAACAAGACGTGATCATAAACAGGAATATAAAACTGTAACGCTTAATCGTATTTCAGCCATGCATCGTGATATCATAAACTGACACAAACGATTGTAAATCGCGAATACTCGTTTTTTTGTGCCAGTTTACGACATTTTGATATACAGCAGAACAAAAGACTACACTCAAAACAGCAATTTAAAATTACTTTTACGATCATGATTCTTTCACCTGGACTAATTCTTTTTTATCTAGTAGAAATTTTTGTTTTTATTCTTGGTGCAAAATGAGAAGTGTGCGGGTGTGAGTGTCCGTGTTTATATTGGTCCTTTGGTATATAACGCCCATACCTATACTGATACCCGTAGCCATACATTCACACTCACACTCACATCCACACCCACACCCATCCATGAATCAAGGATCTCAAAAATGAAGTTTCACTAGAACTGATCTATAGTTGAAAGTTCTGCATGATCGATGCTTCCTATCTTGATGTATATTCTTCTATGATTAGAGTCTATTTAGAAGAAATCCTAGTGCCCTCACATTCCTGCGATTACCTCTCTTTTACTATTTTTTTTTGCATGTGAGCTGCTTGAATGCATGCATGTACAATGAGTTGAATCATGAGGTCAAATTTATTTTTATAGTTATTCTATTATCAATATCCACAAGTTATAAGACAAAAAAAAACATGAAATTGACAATGTAAACATTTAATTTAAATATCATATAAAACATAAGTATGTGGATTAAAAAACTCTTTTCTGTAGTCTTTGATACTGACGATTCAAAAAATGGTACAAGTCTTTTCCTTGTAAATATTATAGGATGCGTCACAAATTCGGCATTTTTCAATAAATGTCGTTCGCATTTCGACGATATTTTTATGTTCCTCATATGTGGTTCGTTCATTTTTCTTTTCGAATGGTTCGTACCTACAACAGCCCATGTGAAAAACACCTTGACCAAAGTACTTGTCCAATTCATTTTTTTTAATATCACTGTACTCAAAGAATTCTTCAGTTAACTGTTGTCGTCTTCCTTCTGTTAAGTTCTCGCAATGAGTTAACACGAGAGCCATATAGTTACCAAGAGTAGGATATTTGTTTTTCATAAATTTCATTGCTTCAATATCTTGAAAGTTGAGGCAATTAGTGATATTAATGACGAATGCGAACAAGTGCACATTGGTAACATCATTTGCAATACAACTATCAACAATCTGTTTAATGCGATTATTCGAGTTGCCTGCTCGATCATCATTAGGCACTTCGACGAATCCTGGTGTGTCAATAATATTAAAATTGATCCTTGTTCCGTCATTGGCTTTAGCCACTACTTTATGAAACTGCACTCCTTGCGTTTGAGTATAGAAGGATCTACAATTAGGTCGAAAAGAAACATCCTCAAGGACTTTGATCAAAGTACTCTTTCCAGTTCGCAATCTTCCAATAAGTACAATATTTCGATTGATAGAGTAATTAAATTGATACTTATTAAACGTTACATTAATTGTTTTCCATCTGTTCGTGTACTGTTCCAGGTCCAAATTATTAGTAGTTAACTTGAAGACATCTGTCATGTTTTGTTTTAGAAAATTAATATTTCATTCGACAAATCTACAAATGAGAAAAAAAGAGGTAATAAAAAGTATAAAAGACGTTAGAATTTTTTCTCTAAAAAATAGTACGATGGCCGTCTCGATTATGATTAATATTGTTTTAGTGCCATTTTTTTCGTAACAGATAACTTCTTGATTGATTTGATTAGTAAGACTAATCATAAAAAGAAATAATTCACATTAGTAATACCATAATTTATAGATAAATCGATGGCAGCTTTGGCAGTGTCATTGTTGAAAATTGCTTGTTAAGATATTGTTGATGTCGAAAGAGCAAAAATAACCAGCCTTTCAAGCACTGTTAAAATAGATGAAAAGTTCCACCATGAGTGGGACTTGTCAGTTTATGAAATACCGGTAAATAAATCTCAATTTAAAGTGTAAATTTCGACGAAATATGAAAAACTTCACCTAGGATATTCTTGCCGGTATGTGTGCGACTAATAAGTATAACATGTAGTTTATCTTACACAGCACTACGTCGATATCCATATTATTGTCAATATTGTAAGTGTGACATTGAATAAAACTATTTATTCACTATTCTCTATTAATTTTAAATCTATGTATAGTAATAAAATAGAAAGTTTACCTGTATTTTTTTTTTTACTTTGAACCAATGTCAATAATTCTGCGACAACGAGTGAATTAGTAACTGGCAAGAGAATGCAAAATTTATTCTGCTTGTTTATAAAATGGAGGTGAAGAAATTGTACGAAGCACTCACGTTTTCAACTACGGCAGTAAGATAATATTTCATTTCTGTTTACATCATTCGCTTGCAATTCCCGTGTAAACACCGAACGCAAAAATGGCCCATTCAAACACGATGCTGCTTTTTAACGCGTTGAAATACAGTTAAAAGTAATGTAAAATGCATCTGGACGTCGTAAGAAAAATTTTTTCAACGTGTCCAAAACGTGTTTCTTGTTAGAATCACGTCAAGTCCCTGTTTGTAGATGTGGTTGAGTGTGTGATGTTGTGAGAAGATTATTTCCTTTATCAATATCCACAAAGCAATCCACATCGATTCTCTATAATCACAGGCCTTGAGTCAGGTACCTAAGCCCCCGTGCTTAAACAGAAGAATCAAAGTATTCTTTAAAGGATAAAAAGGATTAAGGTTGACAAGCAACTTAAAATTCACGATATTGAATGTAAATGGAATGAAACAAGATCCCAAAATCGAGACAAACTTGAGCTATGCTTTTTTTGGAAGCTCCATTGAATGAAATCAAATCAAAGTACTTCAATTGGATTAGGTCGATATTGGTTATTATTGTCGAAAAATCTGCTCAGATAATCAAAAAGTGTTCTTATTTCTTTAAGATTGGTTGTTATATCAAGACTAATGACATATAAAGACAGTATACTTCATCTTTTTTTCTAATGATTCGAATCGAACTGAAACAGTTCAACTTGGTATAACTCAAGTCAAGTCACCGCAAACTTATTGGCAATTTAGAAAATTGTCTCAAAACTAGCTGAGCCTGAACTGAGTTTTTTGAAAGTTCTGTCGAAGAGGATCAGGTTTTTGAAATTCAGTTGTATTGACTCGGCCTAATCTGTTGACTGTCAGTTCTCTTGTGCATTTGAACCAGTCATAACCGAAATGTTTCAATTAGCATTCTCTCATACTTCTTTGTGAAAATTTTGTTTAGAAAAGTAGCAGAACGTCTTTTCATTTAAAGAAAAAATAATGACAGATTATTGTGTCGCTGAACTATTATGAAATGAATGTTAATGCGTCCTACGACATTTATCTATGTTATTATGCTTCTCTAGAACAAGAAGATGACAATGCATATACTGTACTAGTTTTCGTGCTGTTTTTTTTTGTCTTAAAATTAGTGTTTATTGTAAATAGTTAGGTTGGTTTGATTGACGATTGTTAAAAGTAAAAAACAGCTCATAAAATAGAATCTTTGTGCAGAGGTAATCGGCTTAGTCAAAGTTTTTATTGTAGACCATTGAATACACATTAGGAAATCGAGCAACATCTTGATCGACATGCACATGTATGCCCAAGACATCCGCATGTATTTAATGGATAATCGTTTTCATAAATTTCAGGATTGCTTTTAAGACCGCGCCCATAAAGTAAAAAAGTAAATGTCGTTGGACCTAAACAGAAAATCTATGATGATGCTTAAGACTACATGATAGCATATTTGTCTACCTTTTTGTGTATTTGTTTTATTTGTATAATCTCCTGCATGATAATCTATATCGACTACATCAACGCGTTGAATTGTGCATTTTACTCGCCGTATTCGTGTTGACTTCTCCATCTTGTTTAAATGATTATCTTTGAATTGTTTTTCGATAATCTTACGAAAATCATGAGGACTCTCTTCTATAATTAGAGATTCAAGAGAATCAAAGTTCAACCAAAACGATTCATTTTCATACAGCACATCATCTTCGAAAAATAGATTTTTTCCATTACTATTTTTAATACATTTATCTGGTAAAAATGTATTTTTTGGATAAGTCACTGAATGTAAAGTATATCGTTTGCAATGCATTTCAGTTCGTTGGAGAATATTGCCGCTAGTCAAACATTTTGAACAAGATAAATAACCGCTACTGCTGCATTTTGAACAAGGTTTTAACTTAACTTGTCCACTACCATCACAACTTGAACAAGTTTTTTTTCCTTGACCATTGCATGCAATACAAATAGTTTTCCTTTGTGTTTCAGGCAATGCGATATGTCCAATTTGCCTTCCTTTTACAACAGTTGTATCCGCTTTTAAGTTATAATTTTCCTCATCAAATATATCTTGAACATTTTGACTTGGTGTATTTTCACCATTGTACGGACTACTAATTGTTTTTATCCATCGTTTTTCCATCAATGTCCATATGTCAACTTGAAATCCTACACGTGTATCTACTTTGATTATTTTTGCTTCGACAGCGGCATCTGAATGATAGCAGAATTTTCTGCTTACATGTTTTCTTAAAAGTGTTAGATATGCGTTAGCAGTTTCATTGTCAATAGTAGCGGATGTTTGGAATGAATCGGATGCGTACAAATCTGTAACAATTGTCGGAGCAGGTCTTACTTGATTTGTTCGGGACATTTACATTAACCTCTTTAGTGTATTATCTAAATTACAAGAAATATGTCTTTTTTTCAATACACTGAAAATTTAAGGGAGTTCAAGTTTGTATCTGAAAAAATTCTGCTCCTGTTCTTACTTATACACAATGATGCTTTTGCTAGGATGCTTCTTTCGAGGTGCATCACTTTCTCTTATCTTTCAATGCCAGACTCTTGACTTTCTTGCTGTGTCTTCGGCCTCAAGTCTATCAATCTCTGAATAATAACAGCGATGGCACTTCTTCAATAAAAACAAAAGTCTTCCATTGAGCCTAATCTGATTCTACGAATTTTCCAGATTTTACATTATTTATTTCATTTTTTTAAAACAATAGAGTCGATCGACTTACTCACTCATGTGACCAGGCTATGCTGAAATGGCAGATTCTACCAGTTCAACAATATTAGTCGATAAGAGAGTTTCATTATCATGAAAAGATAAAATCAGTTCACGCTTTATTTTGACCATAGAAAACTGTATCAAATCAGTGCATCATTGTCCATCATACTTGCCATCTTAAATGCAAATTTTTATTGGCACAAAAATTAAAAAAAGCAAGCGCACTATTTAAAACATTCAGAAGCGTATTCCTACCATGCAACTTTTGAAGAAGGCTATAGAATGTTCTAGAACATTCTGAGTCATATCATTAATGTCATTCGGCAACCTTGCTCGTGACAAAAGAGCTCTCGAAAAGAAATTTGTTGCATGTTGTCATCGATTACTAAAGTCTATAGTGGAGACTGTTTTCTTTGAAAATATATATGTGAGTTTATATCTTAAGGATAAATAATCCATTTCAGTTGAATATACAGTTTGTTGCCACCTTGGATGTATTAATCTATTGTAAAAATATGAGTCAAATCGATGATTTCCATTGAGCCAGGCTCTACTGAAACTGACTTTGACTTATGTGTAATATCTTCTACAGAAGCATGAAATTATAAGAATTATGTTAATAGTGAATTACTAATTCTACTGCCTAGAGATGTTGATATTCAGGAGTATTCAGATTAATACGAGACGAACCCGTAGAATCTGTTTTTTACGACTTGGCAAACCGTAAGTGGTAAGTATATACTTCCTAAATACACTTCATGATATTTATTCTTCATCAACTTTGAGTATGGAGGGTGAGGAAGTACGCTAATGGTTCCACATAATTACATAAGGAAGAAGATAATCAAAAATGCCTTCAAGACGACTATGCAATCTTCAAATGCCCTAGTGAAAAACTTAAATGATTGTTCGTCTACAGGATCACATTTTTTTAGTGGTCTTTAAACATGTATCGCATATTGTGTTTTGAAATAGATATTTGCTAGAATATATTGACTATATCATATGAGACCACCATGAAACATTGAAAAGTATCTAACTAGCGGAGAAAATTTTATATCAGTGACCAAAATATAGCCTATTGTGATCTTGTTGATAATAGAATTTTATTAACCTACGAGAGTACATGCAAGAGAATCAACTACTTACTTTATCAAACAACGAAAAGTAAAGTCTAAGAAACACAGTTTATTGCAGAGCTATTAGTTGATTTATCATACCTCTCGAATACCTAACTATTTACTCGTTCTTTTATCTGACAATCACACAAGAGAGAGAGATTAGTCTAGGTAAATTAAAAAAAATGTAATTAAGCTAAAGTCAAACTTTTTTTTTCTTACTTATACGTGCGTTTTATAACTTTTGGTTAACTGAGACAATCGCTCAACGCATAATCGATCTTGAGTTTTTAAACTTTGATAACACAGGTGTTTAGCTTCTGCTCTGTCTCTTAAAACATATTACGCCATACATTACTCGGAATATTTACCATGCGAATCGCCAAGAGATTTACCTTAAGAATGGTAGGGTTTCTTTTATTTTGAAAAGATAAGAAACACCAATATACAGAACATACTCGTCTCATATCAAGTCAATCATGTTAGTATATCTATGCAACTATCTTTTACAAGTAGGTAATAACTCTTTAAAGACAGTGTTGATAGAGATTAAGACATAAAATAAAACTCTTGTCTAGAAGTCATTTATGATGATAAATACTATAAAATGATGAATTCCATTACAGGCACTTGCGTTTTATCTGAATCTGTCCACTATCAGGTTGAGTTAACTGAGAATGACTTCTTAGAGAATATGCAAGGAATCAATAGTTACAGTATTATGATCGCCGAAAGTTTATAGCCAGTTCTTCTTTTAAAACTCATTGCAGTGTATAGCAAGTAACAAAGACAGTGGTATCTCAAGTGAGCGAACGGTATCAACTAATCGTTTCTTCTTTGATAAATTGCTTTTATTATTAACATAAGCAATAAAATATAAAATAAAAGCCAAATTCACCTTCATCAAGAGCCCATAAATAGTATGAGAACGACTTTTATGTCTGAATGCAGCTTAGAAACAATAGCAAAACATAAAATATTGATTCGGCAAGCTGGAATTCAAACCTATGCAAAACTAGTGCCATGTTTGAAACGATATCGCTAATTAATGTTGTCATTCTGATGCTAAACTAATCAAATCACTAGAGATTACAGTGCATAAATATTCACTCGTACAATAATATGTCTGTTAACGATCGCGTGATTCCTACGTATGTCGTACTTGAGTGAATCGAACTAGCAATGGAGTAGGTATGTACTAGTTCCATGTTTGAACTGATCGATTGATATCAGACTGAGTAATTCATTCAGCCTCATCGATGCCAAGCCCAACTGGTACTCACTTGTAAGAAAAGTTGGCATGCCATGAGGTGCATAGCATTTTACAGAATCTTTCACTTACTATATTATCTCGTTTTCGACTGTAGAGTCTTCCAAATTCCATCAACAGACATTGATCTCACATGATACGTTAATTTTACATATGTGAGATGCCATGTGATTTGTTGGATAAGCTTTCTTTCAAGGGTAGGATGAATCACTTATCTCTTATATATGTGTATGGATATGCATATTATCTTCATCCATCACATTTTCTAAAAGCACTGTTTTAATCCTTGTACTTTATTTTAATTTGTTTTTGTTACTCAATCGTTTTCAGATCACATTCTCTTCATATAAATACTGACGTCTATTATCTTGAACAATAAAAATTACTTATAAAAGGAAGAAATGGGATGCAACGGCTCTACAACCATAACGCTCGAAAGGCTTCCTCCAGGTTTGTTGACAATGGGAATTGTATTTAGTTACTATGAGCTCATGTTTGAAGAATACATTGCTTTATTTTTGATCTTGGGAAGGGTGAGTGGTACAGCTGCATGTGGGGATGTGTATCAGTGTCTTTTCTTCACGTGAACACCAACACTCATATTGTCACTTACTGCCATATTCGGAGCCACGGTCAAACTCTCGCACATATCCTCATCCTCACTACCTACATTCACACTCACCCAAATCTACTCTGTTTGACGTTTTCATTATGCTGAGATCTTGTCGAAAGTAACATTTACAAGATTTATTTATTTTACAGCCTCTACATACCGTGATAATCGTCGAACACTTCAATCGAATCCGTCGAAGTATCAGGTAAAACGAAATTTCTATACGATAGAAGTATTTTGCATATTGAATAGATAATGCGTAACATATATCACTGATACGTACTTGGTATTCGAGGAAAATAATATTTTCAAGCGAAAATAATTGATCATTCGACAAGACTATTCACTTGGAAAAGACAAATTTTCTGTCTTTCAATACTAATTCATCAGATAACAGTTTAGTACTCATAACAAAACAAAAATTTGAGATTGTATTCGATAATTTTCACTATCGGTTATTTTAAGGAAACAGATTTGGTTCCGATTTAATAACATTTTACAGTTAAAAAGTCGTTCAATATTCATATCGCTTGGGTAATTTTCCTGAGACTGTAACTCTATTCGATGAACTTTATGAAAGCAAATCTAGTTTCTTGAATTTGTAAAAGATGCTTTTCTGAGTCCAAACTTAATAGTTGGAAAATTTATTATGAAGTTGTACTAGATTTCTTGTCAATATTTCCTAGATCAAACTCAAGCAAAACGAGGTTGTTAACGTTTTTTTCATCTTAGATAATGGAAGTTAGAAATTATTAGAGTAAATATCAATAAAGTAGAGAGCAATTTTCTAATTTAAAAAAGCTTTTTTTCCAACCAATTTCAACAAGAGAATGATATCAGACAGCACAAGTGTCTTTAGTGAACGAAACAAATCTTTTAGGATTTCTGAATAGTTGAGAATCATCAGTAATTAATGTACTTACAGTTTTTTAGAGCATAGCTTGATAAGATTACGGATATGCAAAGTCAATTTGCACCCTAGGCAACTTCAATGTGAGGGAATTCACACTGTCTTAATCATATAGGATGTTTAAAGATGATTGTATCTCAAATACTATTCTTGAGAAAATTCTATCCTTCATCGTAGAAAGTCAACGTCCAACACCAGCATATCAACATGACTTTAGATCTTTCAAGAGATAAGTCACCAATTCTGCTAATAAGTACTAGATCTATGATATTCAGATATCGAGATCCGTTTCTAGAACGTTAATGGATGGCATTCTCTAATCAGTGTGTGGAAATTTTCAAAGTCAGCTTTTCAATTGTTTCTCTCGAAAATATTCAATTGCGATGAAGAGTTATATTTATAATTTAGAATCAAAAGAAAATGGCAATCAAGTCAAAATCACGCTTAAACGCTAGTGATGATTTAAATGACATACACGAGGCACCATGTGATGAATGTGGATCACAATATATAATAGGAGACCGTTATAGATGCTTGGAATGTACCGATTTCGATTTGTGTGGCACATGTTTCGAGAAAAGACGAGAAACTGATGAGCATAAAAATGGACATGCTTTTGCACATTTTAGAATGCCAATGGAACTTTTTGGAAAGACTATTAAAGATGTCAGTCGTGAAGTTACACTATCTAAATTAAAAAAACAATTCAAAAGTGTTCGGCATGAAAAA